CAATCTCTCGCCTGCGGCTCGAGATTGTAATTTCCCATACAACACGGCCGCTCATGTTGTAAACATTACTTAATCTACTCTTTGCCTATTGGTCGTTCACCGTAACGCCTGATCGCCCAGCTCTTATTAGTCAAGGATATTATTCGTAAGAGTTAGTTACCGAGAACGGAGGCATTACGCTATATACAACCCTATGAATAACAAAGAAAACCTAGTGAATTGGAAACTAATTCTTGTTATTCCCTGATGATGCTGTAGTAGAGCGAAAGCTTGGATTCATTATATACATTTTCAACATCATAGCAGCCTTGGCTACATTTGTATACATTCTTTTTCTTGTATAATGAGTTATGAGTAAAATTCTGCATTTGGTAGCAAAGTGCTCATTATAAAACAGTGGTTTCACTAAATAAATCAATACTTGCGAGCTAAACTTTTTAAAGTTTAAAATTGTTTACTCGACGAAACCTCGAATGTTTAATTATTATAACCTTAAATGGAGAAAGGTTGATATACTCGAATGGCTATCATCGTCAGAAATGAATTAGATACAATATATACCAGCCAACCAGATCGCACAGTCTTGTGATTGTAGCATAAATCTCATTGCCGCGAATATCTTTTTTTTTCATCATCTTGAAGTTCAATCAGGAAATTATATCTGCTCAATAGCGAGAAAGACTAAGAATTAGACATGAATAATCTCAATTGGTAGACTTGCTTTTACTGTTTTACAAGCAAATCAAAAGATAGCTTTTTTCKATTTCTGGAGAGTTGTATAAAAACAAAACAAAACGAAAGTTTTGCACTCATTGAGGTATAAGTTTATTAATTTCTAATGCTCATTTTTTTTTCAATTCCCTATCACTATGAAACACAAATTTTAGGTCTAACAATGCTATCTTAACTGAATTTACGGTTATTTTTGCYTATATCAGCATTTGGACTGACTTGACACAAATATGGGTTATGATGAGTATCTGTTAGCAACTGTTACTGTTTTTTTATTTGTTCCACCATTTGGTGTCGGCTGAGCCTGTTGTAAGCTTATCAAAACCATGGACATGTGTTTGCACCTGTGTCTAGTTTGTACCACAGTAGCGAAGAGAGCAGCCGGCTTCGGGAGGCTTAAACTCATACACATAAAATGCTCCACAGTTCAGCACGCGGATCGTATTACTGAACTGGCAACAGCTTGATGTCCAGTGAAAGCAAACGGTTCTTGAGACTATTCCTTCCTGCACCGTGGGGTGAGCACCATTCAACCAGCCTGGAGCGTGTGCGTCACATTGGTTATACGATACACAAGATGTTGGCATTCGTATACCGGCTGCACCAGTCAAACGATACCACTTAACGGACATACCACTGTCGCACAGAGTCCTGTAGTTCCCATAGTTTACATGTCGAGTTCCATCAGATATCTCAGTATAGGAAAAACATTCGGAAACTACAATTAAAATAAATCCTTACTATTATTTCTTTTATGATTTGTTAATGTAGACGATTTTATTTATTTTTTCCTCCCTGATTAAATCCATGAATGCGAGATTAAAGCTTTTTGAATAATGTTAAATTGTTTTTTTTTTTCCATCGATTAGTGAAGTTTATTTTATTATTGTTAATAATGGCCCAAAAAAAAACAGAAAACGCGAAAAGCAAATTACGGTTTTTAAATGATCTGTATGATCACCACTTATGATAACATTAATGAATACAATAATCTTGTGGAGAGTCGAGTCATACTTAATTGAAGACTTTTGATTAAAAACGTTTAAGTGAAGATTTAATTGAAGACTTTAAAAAGAGCAAATAGATCAATTTTTATCCCAAATTAATCTATCCTAAGTTAATCTATCCTATTAGGGTCTATTAATATAGTTGATAATATGGTTGAATAAAATTGTGCAATTTGATTGGCTTAGAGGAGTGGTATTTATCCTTAATAGTGGTATTTCAAATTGCACAATTTTATTCAATCATTTTATAAACAAATAATAGCATGTTTTGTACGTGGAATTTGGGATAAATAACACTTGTGATAATTCAAAATTTGTCACAAATTTCACGAGCGAAACAAATTTCACTCGCTTCGCTCGTGAAATTTTGTTTGACAATTTTGAAATATCACGCGTGGTATTTATCCCAAACTACCACTACAAAACATGCTATTACCTATACAAATTGCATCAAAAAAAAARTTTTACGAATTAATGTTCGATTTTTAACGCTATCTCATAAATTTCACGCCAGCTCGCGGAATGCACTTTGAAATCAAGGGCTTTATACACCCTTTTAATAAGTCCCGAGGTATTGTTTTCTCCGCACTTGACGTCAAATTTATTCTTTTGAATTTTTTACAATACAAAAGGAATTCAAAAGAATAAATTTGACGTTAAGTGCGGAGAACGTAATACCTCGGGACTTATTAAAAGGGTGTATAGAACGAGTGTGACGTTCAGTACGGAATCATTTCTCCTGAAGTAAAAGGTAAAGATTTGAAAAAAAGTCATTAATATTGTTGAAACGTTGACGCTTTCTGTGACGATCCTAATAGTTGGCCACTCAAAAATTCTGGAAAGGGAGATATAGGAGCCCGTAGAATTAGTAGAAATACCGTTTCACTGTAGCAGGATTAACGTGTTATCAAAAACTTCTTATTGTCTTTGATGGATGTCAGTATAATTGCAGTTTTGATGGTTGCGGCGTAGATAGCGATTTCTTATTTTTCCGAATTGTCTTGAACAGGGTATGGATTTTTACTTTCTAGTGTCTTAAACAGGGTAAGGGTTGCCGGGGGCCAGGAGCTAGCACTGTTATAGCACTTTGCCAACGCTCCCATTAACACTTCGTCAACACTGCCTCATCATCTTTTTGACATCGCAGTAGAGACATATCTCCATAGCTGATAGCTTACGGCACAGGTCGTATATTAGAGGGGGTATCAGGGACTGGTGCATTTTTTATTTAAACCTCGACAAACACTTAAAAAAGGAAATTTTACTTTTTCTCATACTCATAATTATAGTTATGTTGAAACTTTGAATCACTAGTACGTGAATTCATAACCCACGATAAATAGCCCGTCAAATGTTTTTAATAATAATAATAAAAAACTGACTTAAATTCCTTTATAACGTTTGCTCTTTTACTTATTAGCATATTTACTGCTTTAAAAAGCTGTATTTTTTCTATAGCAATCATGTAAAATAATAATATAGTTTCATTTCTAGACTTTTTGAGTGGCCAACTATTGGAATGATCTTCACAGAATCCGTCAGAAGGAAATATGGGGCTATGCCGTCAAGATACAATCACTTTTATTGTTTGAAAGTGTCTAATTACTTCATTTAATTCGATCAGATGATATATTTGKTTGRYTTCGATGTTTGAGAAAAAATTTCATTCGAATGATCTATCTGAGTAAATGTAAACAAACTGCTAATTTGCATATTGCAAGTCAAATAATCGTGATATTTGATCGCTCCTATCGCACTACCAGTGTAAAAACCCAGAAATATTTTTCTACCTCGGTTTATATTGATATTTCAACCTCATTCAGGGTGAGTTTGGTAAAAATTGGAGAATGGCCACATGGAGAAAAATGTGTTCGGAAATTTCAACTCAAATCAAGGTTTGAAAACCGGCCAAGCAAAAGTCATTTTTCCTCCCCGTTAAAAATACATTGAAAAGCCAAAACCGATTCCGGGCAACTCCTTAGGAGATATTCTTTCGGATTATGTAAAAAMAWTGCGCAAAAATATTTMAATTGATTGAAGAAATGACTTTTAAAAAGCTGCAAGTTTTAGCGGTTTCATATGCTAATTTTAGACCAAATCGGGGTAAAACCAATTTTGCTCAAAAACTCAAATTTTTCAACGTACATCACAAAACTGATTWGACCACGTTAGTAGACTCACAGAAAAGTGTCCAGGATCTGAGTTTCAAGGAATTTGAAATTTTCATTGTGGCCGGATATTATCGATTTTGCTCGATTTTTCTGGACAGTCGCTCTCATATAGTTTCAATTGTTATAAAAGATGATAAATTACCTGAGCATGTCCTTCCATCGCCATTATAGCCAGATTTACAAGTACAAGTGTACGAACCATCAGTATTGATACATTGTGCATTTACATCACACATGTGGTATTCCGCAGAACATTCATCAATATCTGAAACAGAAAACAATAGACATTAGGTAACATTTAATGATTTTTAATCAGTCCTGTACTGTGAATGTATGGTGTTACTGTGCAACTATGCCAAGCACTTCAAATAAATAGCGCTCTATGTCAACAATCTAAAAAAATAT